CCCCAAAACCCCAAAACCCCAAAACCCCAAAACCCCGCTAAGGCATAAAGCCGTTGACCTAAAAATAAAATTTAATGGGATCTTTATTCTCCTCTGAAGATAACCTCAAGTTATTTTTCAATTATGGAAGTGAGCTCAACATAATACTGGATGCCTGCAACTTCCATGAAGGGTCACAGGCTACAGGAAATGTGAGCTTTACAGTCGATAGCAACTGTCCTTCCATCCGTTTAAATGTGGTTATTGAAGGCTTTGAAAATGTTAAGTGGAAAAATAAAGAAAGAAGGAGAAGAGGTGGAAAAAGACGAACTAAAGTTGTAATATATAAAGATAAAATCAAAACAATTTCTAATAGGAATTTTGTGCTAGAGACCCAAGAAGGTTTTCTTCCAGGAAATTATTCATATCCTATTAATTTCCAAGTTCCACAAAATGTTGCCGGGACCTACGCATTCAAGTCAAGTGGATGGGGACTTAGCTCCAAATGCAGTAGCTCATACATGGTGTATGCAGAGATTACAAGCAATGATGGCTCCAATACATTACTCGGAAGAGCTGGATGTCCCATCGTTATCATGCAAAGACCAAGATTTCAGCTTCAATCTAATGTCGAAACAAGTCTTACCGTCCCAATAAAAACATGGTGTTGCATCAACAGAGGAATCTTCGATGGAAGATTTTTCTTTGAAAAGAACATTGTGTGCATTAATGACAAAGTTTGGATGAAGTTCTATCTTGACAACACCAAAATTAATCTTTCAGTTGATAAAGTCATTTGTTCCCTGAAAAGAAAATTGGAATTAAAAACACGCAGAGGCCGAATGAAGGTATTCACTAAAACAATGATTAAAAAAGATATGCCAGGATGCAAGAAAGGAGAGAAATCAGAAGAGAGAACAGTCCAGTTTGACCTAAACCTCGCTAATGACGACGGCACCCCGTCTGAGCTCAAGGGAGGTCTGGGGGAGTTCGCCGGCAAAATTCAGCAAAGTTGTAACGGCCAACTAATTAGCTGTTCGTATTTATTAGAAATGAAGGTAGACTTTGTTGGGTTCAGATGTTGAGACCCAGACCCAGAAGCTGTATTACCAATTGAACTTTTAGCTCCTGAAAGAGTGCTTGTATTCCAGCCTGAGATTTACTCAGCACCCATGGATTACGGAGATGCAGATCAATCAATGATTCCTTTTGTACCCGGTGGAGGGGTGAATGCAGTTGCAACACAACAGCCAATAATGGATCCGTATGGAGGGGAAGATCCAGATGAAGCTCCTCCCCCATCTCAAATTCCACAAACCCATGCAGCACCAGTCTAAGTAACATCTATTCAGTACTTTGCAGTTCCAAACGATAGATATACTCAGCTTCTAGGAACAGTATCTGCTCAATAAAGGTTGCCAGGAACATAATTTCTAATTATGGAAGAATAATACATTCACATAATATTGTCAAATTCCAATAAATACAAACACGCCTTCCCTTGACTCCTGCTTCTTTACTAACCCCCCTCCTCAAACATAACTCCAAGTAAAAGACCCTCATAACTACTTTCCCCTATAATAGTACCATCACTTAAAACACCATCAGCAATCGTCAATGTTTTAGTAACAATCCCAATTTCTACCTTAAAATTTGTGAATATCCGCTCCAACATTCTATTCGTAGCTTCTCTATTTATTCCCAGATTCTCAGTGATAATAGAAGGCCTGAAATTTTAAGTTTTACACAGGATTTAGACCTTAGAGGGGGTTTAAGTGCTGATGGAATAGAGCTGATGACTTCTTTTAGTTCTTTATTGGTTGTTTCAATATTTGAAAATGGAAGTGGGGTTTTGGGGTTTTGGGGTTTTGGGGTTTTGGGG